ATGATGAAGCTAAAAGATTAAATACAGAATCGACAATCCAAAAATATTTTGAAGTCTAAAGAAAATAAGGAAAACTTAATTGGGGTGAATGTTTTGAGTAAATCTAAAAGTATTTGTAGCAAATTCCCACTTTAATATATTATTATATACTAGCGGCTCACACTCGCTTCGCTCGGGTTCGCTTCTAGAAAAACACTATTAGAGACCTATTAGCTCCCACGGGAACCGTTCATTTTTCCGGGATGAAAAGTAACCTGTTGTTTGACCGGCAATATAAGGTATCAGCATGCAAATTTTACTAAATTAGGTGCATAAGTTGTTGTGTACTAAGCTATACAGCTTAGTACACAACAACTTATGTAAGTAGTAACTTATACAAGTTACTATAGTTTTTTAACTATCCCACGGGAACTCCTTAATTTTCCGGAATGAAAAGTATCTTACATGTAGACTGGAGATATAAGGTACTACTACGCAAAATTTCATTTAAATCGGTCCAATAGTTTCGGAGATTAGCCCGTACAAACAGACAAACAGACAGAGAAACAAAAAAATTGAAAAAAATCTGGATTTGTTCTATTTGTCTTCTTACATCCCCCTGACTCGGTTTTTAGCATTTTCTTGCTATGTACAGACATTCAACCTCTTCTGTTTTATTATAGTATAGATTTGAACGTTGTAACTTAACGTTTATTACCTATAGAATTCTCAGATGAGATATTTTCCCGTAAAAAATATTTAATGTACAGATTCGACTTAGAATTTTATTATATGTATAGATTAACACGGCAACATAATTTAAAGTTAAAAAGCTTATAACCAATCTATTTTAGGTAGTTTCAATAAAACTCCTTATAAGTAGATAAAAGGATCTTTGGGAATGCTAATGACTTGTTAAAATTTTTGAAAAAAAATAAAAGGTCTAAAAATAGGGAAGATTACTGAAACAATGGGTGCTCACAAAAGACTTGAAAAGGAAAGTGTTCCACAAAGAAACCTTGAGTACTACACTTCTACGCTTTGTTGAAAAGTGGGAAAGATGTGTCTACAATTTTATGGCCTATGGGTATTTTCCATACTTGTGTTTATTTTAGCTTTAAAATGATATGAAATACTTAACTCATGGATAAAATTAGTTTTTAACAATACCTAATATTTATTTTGTACATTTTACATTTTTATATACACATTACAATAAGTACCTACGGTAAGGTTATTTATAGTAGCTTAGTTGTGCTCCTGGTCTCTAATGGTTAACCATTGATGAACTGAGCGGAGCATGAGCAGATCACCAGTGCTATAATAACAAACTACGACTTTCATAATATAACAAGTAATAAAAAGAAGACGATGAAAAAACTAAAACAGCGATCGCTATTTGAAAGTAAAGTTGAAGAAGTTTTTCAGAACATGTGATGAGGGTTACGTTGTTTTCCTTTGTCAAAGACGTCTCCAATCTAATCCCTATGACATCGCGCATTTTTTTATTTCATTCAAATCTAGCTGACCTGACAGACGTTATATTATCCAAATAATAAAGTTTTCGACAATTAAGTTATTATTGCACAAACAAAACTTGATTGACAAAAAACACTTTCTCCTATATCAAACTTTTAAAATGTATGTCTTGTTGATGAAAATGTGGGGAATTATGGTACATTGACTCATATGCGGGTTTTATGTAATATTATGTTCATTAATATAATTTCGATATTTAAAAGAGCAACTGTTGGGTTTCTCGCCGGCTTTTTTCAGCAGAACAGCTTTCCGAACCGGTGGCAGCTTCCTCATGGGCAGACTACACTGACGCTCTGTAAATTGATAACAAAAGTGCTTGTAATAAGTCTAATAAAATAAAGTTTCAAAATTTCATTATGTAAAAAACATCGATTCGGTTGTGTAATCGGGTGCTAGCACCAAATAAGACCTAATCCAAATAAAAAAAAATCACCAACACAATCACAAATATTACAATTGTCACTTTGTAACAGATGGTAGTCGCACGGATAGAAAGAAATCATGGGAATGGATAAACTTTTTTTTGTTTTCCACTTCACAAATGGATGGCCGTAATGACCCATGGGCATGCCCAATTAGGTGACTATTGGGCAGACCAATATTTACCCAACAAAGGGAATTTTTAAAATGCATTATAAAACGAAGTGAAAGTTCTAAAAAGCTTCAAAAGAAATTTAATAGAATCATTTTATTTGTATGTTTCATTCAAGGCAACTCAACCGAAAAGGTCGGATATTGCGTGCATGAAAAACCACTTAGGTCCTTTACATAAAATGGCTGCGCCTTAGCAACCAGACGAAAGTAACAATAAGTTCAAAATTATACGTCCCTAACTTGTTGTATTTAACATTTCGTAGAGCTCTTATGTTATGAAAATCGTGTAAAAGAAAATATCCTTATAATATTGTAAATGTATAATAAAAGAATTTACAACTTACCATCTTAAAAACTATTTAACATATCTTCAAGAGAAAAGTACTTACTGTACAGTAATATAGTATTAACTAATAGTCCCCAAAATATCTAGGATAAAAAATAGGACCAAAGGACAGACGGACAAATAGGCGTGTCGAAATTATAAGGATTCCGATGTTATTAACATAAAAAATAACAGCTCTAAAGGACCAGTAAATTATAATTATTCCGCTTGTTACTCAATAGCTCCGTCATATGTCACTCTAACAGCTCGAATTTGCTGTCTTAGCTCCCCTACTATAGGTATATGCTACATCCCATCAAGACTAAAACTTCAGAGCATTCCCAAAAGTCAGATATACATATATATATACATACATTTATACGTATATACATTTATACATACATACATACATACATACCCTAAAAACATTACTTTGCTTCAGAATCATTGGATATCCGATATTTTCAAGCAAAAGGTTAAGCGGTATAACGTCATTAACTAGTTATTAAGAATTTTATTTCTTTAACTTTATTTTCCTTCTTTGACTTTCGTGTTAGCGCAGTAATTAACAAACTGAAATCTGCTCGTAGCTACTTAAACATAGAGTAAATTCCTTCGAGGAAACCTTCCTTTTAAGTATTACCCGCACTAATAATACTTCCAGGTAAATTTCTAAGAAATTAATTAAAATTCTAAGAAATCTATTGTTAACTGTAACGCCGGCGTGTCCGCGGTCGCTGAGGGAATAAAAGCCTGATTAAACCAAAAGCTGCTATCGATCAATTAGCAAAAGTACTAATACCTAGTATAAGGTCAAGACTTATATTATTTTTAGAACTCCTAGAACTGGTCTCCATCCTTATGTCGTGGACATTCCACCCGTCCGCACGAAACGTTTCGCTACATCATTTATTATACGTACGGCTAAGGATTGGAACAACCTGTCTGCGTCGGTGTTTCCGTCCGATTATAACATGGGTGTCTTCAAGGCAAGAGTGAATAGGTGGCTACTGAATTAGTGCGACTTACCATCTACGACTGCGTTACCACTTACGATCAGGTGGAACGGAGTCAAGCACTAATTCAGAATAGTATAAAAAAAAAGAACATGGACCTCTTGAACTGGTAAATAATAACATTTTTTTATTTTTAATACAAAATACCCTTCATTTGGTCTGAAAGATGAAGATCAATCTATTTTCGGATTTTAGACAATTAAATTCACCTATATAATAATAATCTATTAAACTTAAATATAACAAAAATAATAAACGATAGATATCTCCTGTTTATTACATTTTAATTAAAGAGATACTGATTTCAAAAGAACTTATAATTACTTAGTTGATTTTTTTATAATTTATATAAGACAACCCATTAAATATAACAAGTTTTTCAAAAAAAAAATTTAGAACTTGGCTTATAATCGCGTAAACAGCATACAACTAAAATGAACACTTTCTTACGACGATATATTACGTAAATTGCCTTCATTGATAACAAATGATAAGCATGTTGATAAATCATGATTTGATCATATTGAGATCATCAGAAATGCGTGACGTAGATTTTTAAAGCGAGCGTTTTAACATTGAGTTACCACTGCCTTTCGATATAATGGGGTCTAATTAATCTTAATATAGATTTATCTGACCTAAAATTAGAGCGTCCAAAACGCACGAGACCCAAATGTATGGGGACAGTAATCTTTCTTGTATAAGGAATGACCTTTCTATAAAATAATTTAGCTTCTTTTTATTATTTACCATTTTGTAAATTATGTATTTTGTCACAAATACCCTATATATTAAAATATAAGCTACTTTTATTACGAATTTTACTCATAAACAATATTTAAGTACATAATATAAAAAATTGTAACCACGCCGAATCTGTACATTAAATATTTTTTGGAAAATCATATTGAATTAGGCATTATTATCGATACAGAGGCCGAATCTATAGCCTTTAGAATTTTTGTGTGTTTATCTGTCTGTCTGTGACTGCATCACGGAAAAACCACAGGAGGGATTTTGATGAAATTTGGTATGCTGATAGCTGGTTTTCCGGGTCAACATATAGTCATAAGATACCTTTCATTGCTGGAAAATATCAAATCTCTGAGAAATCTATACTAAATGTTAAAACGTAAGTGGGGACGAACTCGAGCGGAGCGAGGGTGAGTCGCTAGTCATTTATATTTGTATAATAAGGAAATCCATCTATATCCAATAATATATATTCTGTATAATAAATATCAACAGGTTCCTATTATAATTTATTACCATTTTGAAATACCTCTATACAATATCCTGTACCACAGATGACTTAGTTAAAAGGTTCCCATTGACCTCATTCGGTCCGGAACCCTCAAAAATGAATGCATATACTCATAATTAACAATATATTAGATGGATCATACACACAAACGGCGAAAGTTTCGTATTTTTGCCGTTAGTGAGGCTTTGGATTACACTTTTCGTGTTGTTGGCAAGAGCCTTAAAATCAATCAGACTTTGGCATCAAATGTATACTTTGCTAATAGAAAAACTTGTTGTTACAGAGTGGAGGAGTCATGTTCTCACCGTTAGGCCGCCTTAGAGTTGCTCAAGCTGTGAGAAAGCAGGTAAATAGAAAAACAATAGTTAATCAATTAACTAAGAACTGAATTGAAGGTTCAAATTTAACCCACAACGTTTATTAGACTGTGTGAGGTTATCTCAAAGGAATAGACAAGCAAAGGTGAATTACTGGCAGGTAAGAGTATTTATTAATAGTGGAGTTAGGTTAGGTGGTTTGGCCCTTGGAGTTTTGGCAAATGAATATGTATAAGCTCATGAGATCGTATTTATTATGCTTAAATTGCAATGTTTACAATTTTTTTGTTTTTTCCGTTTATACAACAGTTGTGACCAAAAAAAAAATACAATATTAATTCTAAAAGTTTCTTGTATGTATATTTTGTATAGGTAAGCTATATTATATTGTTTTCGTTTTATTTTAAAGTAAAATAACTTATTTTTAGTAACTAAAATTTATTTATATATATCATTTACTACAAGCTTTATGTGTATTCAATACATTCTTGATTCTGGTCACTGCAACTGTTTTTTTCTGTGTTTCTATGAATGGAAGATCAAGCTATCCACCAATACGTCATATTATTGACAATTCTTAGAAAACGAAGCAATGACTTACCTATAAAGGATGTAGTGTGAATACATCCTACTATTTTACTAATAATGCAGTTATGTAAATTATAACTTACAAGTCCTTTAATTTTAGCTTTCAAGCGAATGCTAAAAGTTTTTGCAATTAGAAAAATAGTATGCAAATACGGTATAAACAAATAAACTCATTTCAAATTTTCTATATAGATATTCTGCATCCAATTCAAATAAGTTACTTTATCTATGAATCGAAGCCACACGTTAAAGATGAATCTAATATTGATTTGAGCTTCCAATACTAGATTGGAATAGAGAGGACATAATAGTGAGCTAAGATTTTATTTGTCATTGGCCATTTAATTGTTAGACTATCAAAAATTTAGGTTCTAATGTATTTAACGATCTGGGCTTGAACTTTCAAATTGCTATTGGTACCATTTAAAACTAGATCATAAATACTTTATGAAGTTACCTAATAAATTACGCTAGGAACCAAGAATGTTATATAATGCCATGAATATAACGAATGTTGTTCTCAAGTCTTTAGCTTTACACATTTAAAGACCATTCGTCGCTTTAGTGCTTATTTGTTTAAGCTACCAATACTTATTGTGTTTTATAGTAGAAAGCTTTTTTCTTTTATTTTAATTAGAAACGAAACTTTATTTTTACTTCTAAGATTTATATACACGACACGTTTGGCTCAATTAGCAGTTGCGGGTTCGAGTCCTGCTGGGGACATACATTTGTGTGATGAGCACGAATGCTTATATATGTTTTTAAAGTTATATAATAATATGTGTATTGTATTAACTATTTGGTGTCCATAACATAAGTCTCGTAGTCTCGTCTCGTCGTAACGTGGAACTAGATGGTACTGTATTAATCTCCAAAAATATTTATTTATTGATTTATACGAGTACACAATATATAGATAAAATATTTTTTTCGGCTTTCTTTCCGTAACGGTTTAGATTTGTTTTCTTCGGCTTTGTTCAAGTAAAATGTGTATTTAATAAATTCTATTGAATTGATATTTAGAAGTCAATAATTCTGTATTATAAACTCTGTGAGACGACGAGATGCAGGATTGATAAATTTTCCGTTCCTTAATTCTCTAAACATTTTAACAACATTACAACTTAAATACGGTAATAAAAACAGAATAGCTGTTTCTATTCTAAAAATCGCCTACTCTTAATTTCAGATAAGCCAAATCCCAGTCCTAGCATCTGAGGCGGCCCCGCTTCAAGCACCACTGTGTTACCAGCTCATCTGCCCGCCTCTCGCACCCCTGCCTACTTGCGCTCCGTGTGAGATACCACCTCCGCCGTACGCTGTGTATCCGCTACCGTTTGATAGTAAGTTATATGTAAAATGTTTGAGAATATTGTCTTTTCTATATTGAAATTTATATATATGTCCAGGACGATTGACTGTTTTTCTTCCAAATGGAGCTACTAGAGCAAAATAGTTGATTTATGACATCAATAACGACTAAATAAGCATTTTTTGTTTTTCTGATCAAGTTTACTTGAAACTGTGTCTATTAATCATATCCTTCTTCCTAATACTCATATATTCGGTGACAGGCATCTAAAAATGTATGATACAATGTAATGCAAATACTTATAATAATTGATTGTCGTAGAAAACGTCACGTCGTTTTTACTATATAATATTTTTTCTTTTAGCCACACCAGCTATCTACGCTCCTCCAACTCAGTATGCACTGCTACCAGCGCCATACAGCACGGCGTGCTGCGAGCCGACCTGCTGCGCGCCGCTGGACAAACAACCCCGTGTGCCAGCGCCACCACTTCACCCTGCGTTCATTTACTAATACAGATTACTAAACGGATTGTTATTATAAAACTACACATAATTTGTTTTAACATAAAACGAACATAACCATCTTGATGTTCATTTGGTTTGTTTATTTTTCATATTGATTATAGTCCAAAGCGTGAAATTTTTGCTTTCTATATATGTATGTCGTAGTTTTATAATATGGATCCGTTGTCTTTTAGATAAGGCTTTCATTATATCGACTTTAATTTACAGTCTTTAACGCATCTTTCAATGGTTATTTAGGACTGGTTAATTTTGTGCTCAAAATTTTAATTTTCTATAAATATTTCTTTGATTTTTAGAATTTATAGAAAGATCAGGAAAAATATTTTAAATCAAAAATTTGTAAGTTAATAATCCTAATCGTTATTTGATAAGATATTCATAATTGCCATGTAAGCTGCTTTTTAGAGATATTTTTAGATTCTGCAAAACCATTCCTTTCGCTCGAGTCTTCCAACGTTTATTATGCTCAATCAATTTCTGTATTTCTGAATAGGGGTGGATAATTATGAATGATTATTATGTTTTTTTGATGACACAAGACAATTGTGGGGACAAATTCCTATTGTGGTTGTAGAAAAGAACGTTAATAATATCATACTTAAACCTGAATTTACTATATCGAATGTTTGATGAACTCTAAACTCGAAAATGAAATGACTAATGAATCATCAAAATCATTTGTAATTATTCACTATTTCTAAATTCCGTATTTAGTTTCATGATATCTGGGAATGCTAGGGAAGGAAGGAGTTTGAAGGTTTTTAAAGTGATGGAAAAGAAGTGTTCACGATATTAGACTCTCGTCTATTTGGGTGTGTTTTTGACAATTTTGTCTATATCTGGTTGTACCTATATCTTAGATAAATAAAATGTTATACAATAATTAGCTTCGAACAATTATTATAAGTATTATGGATCCACGTGCTATCATTAATTTAAGGATAATAGATTCGTTAAAACGCGTTATAATTTTAATAGGAGTTACAAAAGTTGTTATATCCAAATATTGCGCAAATAGTTTTGGTAATATGCAGGATAGATTAGATTTTGCCACAGTTGTTGTTTTTACGATTATATATATTTATTTGTGTTATTGTAATGGTACTAAAATAACGCGTTCTAATGATATACAGTAATCATTTAAAATTAATGGTATCACAAATGTGTGCGCAGTAGATCGCAACAAATTATAGCACAAAATGGATATGTTGCTAGCATTAGAATATATTATTACCTCAATAAAAGACATTTGTTGATATCGCTTGTTATCCTTCTAAAGGATTTTCGTTCATTCATAGTATAAGATTGCTTTGTTGCCCTAACATCTAGACCAGAGAGATCTATTTTTTAACAATTTAGTTACTTGCTATTGACGAGATAAATCTGGGGTCCAAGATGTGATAAGGTACTCCAAATTTGAGAACCCGCTTCATGTACAATCTTTGTACTGTGTGCGATATCAAAATTGGAGTGTCTGCAATCGTTGTTAACTGTTATCTTGGAAGGATTTTAGTAAATAGTATCATCACCTCAGAACAATCTAAAGCACAGTCATTGATCGATACAATTTCATCTCCTGTAGAGAAACTCTCGTGACTTTATAAACATAGAATATATTCTTATTTATTCGTTTAATAATTAATTATTAGATTAGTTTCATCGTTGATCAAGAATTTATCAAATACATGAAATTTGATGCATCGAGATATTTTAAATGATGATTGTGATATCGCATTGTTGTTTTATAGAATAGATCGTAGATTTATTTTAAACTACGACACTATTGAAGTCATCAAACAATAAATAGGACCAAGAAGCAACGCAATTTACATAGGTTGCCCTGTTTGACATTTCAAGATATTTTGTTAAAAAGTGACACTCATTTAGAATCATAAACTTAGGGCATATTATAGCACTATATTTTATATCGGTTTTTGCATAAGATATATCCCTAATATAAATAATTGTTGTAACTGTTCCGTGTGCTAATATAATAAAATCTAAAGCCTGCTAAATATTTATATAGCTAAAAACTATCAAAGACTAAAAATTCGTATTCCCTGTTTCATTTAAGGACGTAGTTTCATAACATGATAGATTTAAATAAATTTTATCAAATTTATATGTATCTACGATGATTAAATAATGTTATAGCATTCTTAGTTTTCATCATTCACAAATTAATTCCATGTTAAATATGAAATCAAACCAATTTTTAATAATTATATCGATGTTGCAAAAGTGTATGTAGACGCTGATATAGTGTTTGATGATCAATCTGTGTGTACTTAATGTTCTGCCTTTGAATATGTAAGCTTGGTCTCAATTACTCCAAATTCAACAACTGTTTCCATTTCATTTGTTGATGTTATTATAATATAATATTACGCTAGAAGTTCATAGCAAAAAATCGATACATTGCGAATATAATTGAAAGATATTGATATGTTTTTTTTTTAAACGTAAACAGTTGTTGAATGCACGTAAATTTTATATAATATAACGGAAAACGCTGTCAATTTAAAAACTTGGACTTTTACTATTAGGCCGTAAGTCGTTGCTACGTTTTTCTTGATTGCTCAATTTATTTGATTTAACTTTAAATAATTTAGCTATATATTTTTCCTTTTTCGCATAAATTTAACTTTGGTAAAATTATTTTTGATGAGATGAATATTTTGATACAAATTGTTTAATTTCGAAAAGTTGAAACTTTTTCGTACTACTTTCCTGCTTGGCTTGATTATCAAAGTCTTATATAGAAGCTAGATGTATAGTACTATCTTAAGCTAAATCTGTCAATCACGTATCACTGCTTATGAGATTATTGTCATAAATGTAAGGGTTGTTTTGTTTCTATAAAGAATCGAAGAAGTTTATTTATAAAGATGGTTTTGAGGATATTTTTCAATATAATAATGTATTTGATGAAATACAAAATTTCCATTACAAACATTTATGTTGAAATCATCTGGCATTTGCAACAAACGCAATATTTGCAATTAAACATATTAAAAAAATAAAATATCATCAAGAATTTCTTTTAACATATTCAACAGCAACACTTACATTTACGTCTGTAACGAATGTATCATTCTGTGGCCTAGACACAACTGCCTAACATATCGGAGAAATTGAAGATCACTACGCTATAGTTATTTTTATTGTATATCTTGTGGGCGTATTTGTGACTACTAAGCGATGTAATTTAGACAATATTACGTTAAACGAAATTAGATTTAATTAATGTATATTTAAGTAATATATTTAATTAGATTATCCGCTTAGCGTACGTACATATAATGTGAATCGTCAGATGTACTCGTATATGATTACGATGCCCCATCAAACTCAGCAAGAGCCTCTGTCATTATATTTAAATTCTTTCCCTAATTAGCATCAACTATAATCAATATTTATGTTTTTTAATACGCTTTGATCTTAAGTTCAAAAATGATTATCTTCTTTCTATCTATATATTCAATAACCCCAATAACATTTCCAAATTTAGTATTAGATTTAAAGTTTACATTGCATGATGTAGCCGTCCTTTTTTTTTGATCTTCAAACGTTAATTAGGAAAGATGTCCAGATGCGGAATCTTGAAATCCGTCGAAATAATATAACAGGGACTAAGACAATATCTCGTTAGAATGTTCTGTAGATGAAAGGATGTTCGTCTTATTTCTATTTTCTTTTTAATTTAACGTTTAAATATGTATATTTGTCTTTAAAAAGTTCTTTTTAACTATTGTTTGGATATAATTAACAATTTAAAACAGCACGCGAAATTGAATTATTTTTACAGCGATAACATTATTGCGTGTGTAATTCGAAATAACTTTATGGATTGCACTTTATTATCAACCAGTAACTCATCTACGTCTTATTGAAATGAATTAAATAAGCGTCGCGCTTCACTTGATGTTCGCATTGTTCAATCAATTAGTCATAGAACTTTTACAGGTTCTCTAAAACTGCCATATTCCAATACGTTGGTGTTATCCCCATTAGGTACTAGATAAAATTTAGGGCTAAATTTTTATCTTTTGCTAGTATCAATCCAATATTATCAAAATTTAAAAGGCTTCTCGGTCTTTTTTCCCGTAATTTAGTGACGTTTTTGATATCTTTACAAGTTTATTCTGAACTCATTGTCCTTGTCTTTTTAGATATTTGTATTTGTATCGCGAACTATTCTGTTGTAGATGTACCCGTATATTCCTATGATGTTTTAAACGTTAACTACTTTTAAGACTTAAAGCTATACTTCCGATTTTACCAGTGTGACCTGTACGTGTGAATGCTTTACCTTCAAATTTAGATCAACTTATTACTTACCCCTAAAAAAATCACTTTAGTCATTTCTTTATATAAATTATTATAGATCATTAATAAATGACATATATTTGAAAATCAGATTTAATATAAAAATAAAATCAAGATATCAAATGAAGAACTAAACAAGGTTTCTTAAAACAGTCGCTTCTGTGTCAAATAGTAGAAATTTCGATAGTATTGAATATAAAAAAAAAATGAGTCTGCTTTATTTGGTGTTTTAGTTAAAATCTCTTTGATAATTAGCTTTTCTTGATAAAACAAAAATCAAATATATAAATGTATATTACACCTAAGCTACGAGTATATACGTAATGATTCTCCTACTATTTAAACTATATGTGTTGTAGAAACTATCAGATGTAGATCAAAAAAATATATTCCGATATTTGTCTGTGTGTCTAAATCTAACTAGTTTTCTCGGACAATGTTAAGAATTGTAATATTATAGATATAAATAATCAGAATAGCACAAAAGTTAAATAACTCTATGTGCATAAGAATTCACACAATATTACGTGCAAACTAATAAGAGATATTATTACGCTGTAACGTTGCTGATAACAATTATTTCTCTAATAACATTCAATCCAACACGCAGAGTTATATCACTTTTGGACTATGAATCTAATAAACATCAACGTG